TTTTTTTTTTTTTTTTTTTTTTTTTTTTTTTTTTTTGAAATTTGAATGAAATTTGGACCCTGCCAAAAATTTATTTAATATTTAAAAGAAAATGGCAGGAATTTGAAATGTGTTAAACCGGGCAGGGCGGGCACGGGCAAATCACACACCGTTATTTTATTTTTAATTTCTGTATTTTCCTTTTGTGGACGAACAAAATTAAATACTCTAACAAATTATGATGTTTTTATTTTGTTTCCTTATTATAAAAAAAAAAAAAAATCAATTTATATTCTTAAATTTAAAAAAATAATAATTTCATTAATGTCTAAATTTTTCTAAATTTATCAATTAAATTGAAAAACATTAGTTTACTCAAATAAAAACTTATAATTATATCAATTAAAATAATAAAAACCTTTGCACTCGAGTTTTTTATATACATAATTTCGTGGTCCAGAAGATCACCTAGACTCCCCCTTCTCGATAATTTATATATCAAATATTAAACAAATGAACAACTTTATAGGATTTAGGTTTATGTATCTCTCGAACATAAGTTTAGATTCATACTTATAAACCTAATTTGAAGAGAGATTGTCCAACAACTTTAAATATTAGGGTTTAGGTTTATGCATCTCTCGAACACAATTATAGAGTCAGCGAGGGATTGAGACACACACCAATAAAATTATTTTTATGATTTAGTGGAAAATATATATTAATTATGGGGAATAATGATAAATTTAATTGCAACAGCTTTTTATAGCTTTATGAAACACAATAACTCAAATTAAAGTTAGATAGTGAATAATCGTAATAATATAAATAAAGTTTGGATTTTTTTTAAAAAAGACATTAAATTTAAACCACACAACTCAAACCTAGGGTTGGGGTTGGGTCTATTCATAGTTAATTTAAACCACACCACTCACAATCCATCCCTCCCTTGGAGATCCAGTGTCCTGGCATAGGTGTTTGGCTCTGAAACCATTTGTAACAACCTAAAGCCACCACTAGCATATATTGTCCGCCTTAGCCCGTTACGTATCGCTGTCAGTCTCACATTTTTAAAATGAGAAATTTTCACACCTTATAAAGAATACTTTGTTCTCACATTCCATCCTCTTAAGGGCTCAACATTCTCATTGGAACACAACACAGTGTTTGGTTCTTATACCATTTGTAACAGCTCAAGGCTACCGCTAGCAAATATTGTCCACACGGTTTTAAAACGTGTCTACTAGGAATAGGTTTCCACACCAAATGCTTTGTTCCCATCTCCAATCGACGTGAGGTCTCACAAATCTTAAGAATATGATAGTAAAATTTGGTTAAAAGAAATAAAAATAAACTCAATCATAAGAAACTCAAAGATAATTAGGTAACATAGTCGTATCAATGACACGACCATTACGTGTTGAATCCAAATTCTAAATCCCGTTTCAAAACCAGACAGCCAAATCTCGAATACCTACGATTCCAAATATAAATAATCGATCCTATTATAGACAAGAATGCGATATATAGCTTTATGTTCAATAAGAAAAGAAGTAGAAGTAGTGATATTACCAACTCTTGGTTCCTGTAATTGAATGAACAGTGTAGAAACGTGTACACATAATTGGCTTCACACACACACATCTTGAGGATAAAAATTCACATAGAAATGCGTGTGGTCTCAATTCATTTCCCATTAATAGCGATTCAGGAAAGCTAAGCAAGCTCCTTCAATGCTACCTCCCACTGCAACTCAACCACCACCATTAATGGACCATAAATCAACCGCAGATGATGAGCCTTATAATTGGACCAACCACATTACAAACCCAAACCCTCACCTTCCAATCTCTCCATATGGACGACAAATACAGCACTAATGGTGGAGCAGCGGCGGCCAGCTCGTCGGCTGTTGCCGATGAAAGCCTTAGCAGTAGTGGCATGCGGGTGGCGGACACGTTGCTCCGCCTTGCGTCGATGGGGCTCTGCGTGGCGGCGCTTATTGTGATGCTCAAGAACTCCCAGACTGACGACTATGGCTCTGTTGCTTACTCCGACCTTGGAGCTTTCAAGTATGTTTAAGAAAAACCAAAAAGGAAACCCCTTTTCGTCATTTTTTTAATCTATGGAGTTTTCTTTGTCTTTTTTCTATGAAGTCTTGTCGGATCTCAAATGGGTTTTTGAAAATTTTGGTTAATGATTTGGTTTTTAGCTTGTAGGACTTAAAATAGGTCTATTATACCAGTAGTATCAGAGTAATATCCTTAATTTAGTTATATTATAGAATTTTCGAGTATTTGAATAGATAAATTGTTGCGAGCCTTCAAGATGTAGGATTTGTTAGATTACTAATATACTCTCCAGAAAAGGAGTTGGTTTAGATGACACTAAATAGATAGATGACTATTTAAGAGGAGGATCAATAGTGTGACCCTGAGGAATCACGACTCTCCACAATGGTATGATATTGTTCACTTTGAGCATAAGCTCTCGTGGCTTTGCTTTGGGCTTCTGCAAATGGCCTCATAGCAATGGAGATAGTATTCATCCGTTATAAACCCTTGATCTTTCACTAAATTAACCTGTTTGACTCACTTCCAATAATCCTCAACAGTGACATCCCATGTCAGTCGATGAGGAGAATGAATAATTCTTTATAAGGGTGTGGAAATCTCTCCCACTAATTGTGTTTTATAAATTTTGAGAGCAAAGAGAATAATATCAGCTAGTGGTGGATTATGTTCGAGGAGCAGTGGACTATTATGGTTATAATAATGTTGGTAAGTAAATGTAGGTTTTTGGTGCATGTTAATGGAATATGTGCTGGGTACTCGTTCCTGTCGGCGGTGGTGGCGGCCATGTCGCGACCTTCAACCATGTCTAAGGCTTGGACTCTGTTCTTCTTGGATCAGGTTGGGTTGATATTAATAGAAAGTAGATAATAATTGAGATGAATCAAATTGTAATTCATTGTGTACCTCGCATCTCCATAGCTGCTGACCTACATAACCCTGGCGGCGGGGACGGTGTCGACGGAGGTGCTGTACTTGGCCTACAATGGGGACACTGAAATAACATGGAGTGCGGCATGTGGGTCGTTTGGGAAGTTCTGCAGCAAAGCCACGGCCTCGGTGGTGATCACCTTCGTTGTGGTTGCTTTCTATGCTTTCATTTCCATTCTGTCTTCTTACAAGCTGTTCGGTAGATACAGTGCTCCCATGCCGGATCCCTCCAAGCAACTTGAGATCTCTGCCTTCTCTGGGCGATGCTGAATTGTTTTTATACACTCATTGGGTTTAATGAACCATTTGTGAAGAGTGTGTCATGAACGATTGTATAAACTGTTTGTGCAAAACCAAAACTTTTATGGTCGTGTACTCAAGTTTAATAATTATAAACCCTTTGGTTTGGAACTTTTATTTGTTTATTGTCCATGATTCCATTTTTCCAAAATGGGTTTTAGTTATTCCCTTTGGAACTTAGTCGTTAGAGGTGCAAACGGCCTCAATTAACTATTTTGTGTAACCGTTCAAACCCACTGCTAGTACATGTTGTCCATTTTGACTTGTTACGTATTATCATCAGTCTCAGAGTGTTAAAACGCGCCTATTAGGAAGAATGAGAGGTTTCCGCACGGGATGCTTCGTTCCCCTCTATGTATGATCTCACTATCCACCCCCTTGAAGGGCCAACATCTTCATTGACACACTATTTGGTATCTGACTTTGATATCATTACATCGTTCTCCTCTATGTATGATCTCACAATCCACCCCCTTCGTTCTCCTCTAAGAAATGTTTCGTTTCTCTCTCTAACCCATATACAATCTCACATACTGTTTCTAAAAACAAATTAAGGATCGAGTTTAGGATCATTTGGAGGTGAGTTAGACATGTTGTTTAGTTCACGGAAAAGTTTAGGATGATAGAGGGCGAATTTTAAGAGAAAACGTGGAATATAAACCCTAAATTTAAAAATGTATTTGGTGTGCGCATAGTGAAACTATATAATATGAATGATGATGAAGAGTATAATTGGGAGGTATTTTTGCACAATCCCTCAAACATTGAAACCTTAAAAAAAGGAAAGAAAGAACAAAAAAGGTTAATTTATAGGCATGTTCCAACTCCCCTCCTAATATTTAGCTCTACAAAACTTCTTTTGTAATCCATTGATAAGACAAGATGAATGATTATAAACCCTGTTCCCCAATTCCCTGTCTCCCACAAAAACTCTCATAATTTCCTCAAAATTCCCCTGCAAATGGCGTCCTTAGGCAATGCCCTTCTCAGTGTTTGCCTAATTGGATCGCTCATCTCGCAGGCCCAATCCCTCACTTGTTCTTCCCAAACCTTCCCAAAGAGATCCTTCGCCCACTGCGAGGATCTCCCCGAGCTCGGCGCCTTTCTCCACTGGACCCACGACCCCAAAAATTCATCTCTTTCCATCGCCTTCATTGCCACGCCGCCGCACGAGGAGGGATGGGTTGCCTGGGCTGTTAACCCCACCCACACCGGCATGATCGGAGCCCAAGCCCTGATTGCCTCCCAATCTGGAGGCACCCCTTCTGTCCGTACCTTCAACATCTCCTCCTACTCTGTTGTCCTCCCTTCCCACTCCCTATCTTTCCCTGTTTGGGACGTCGCCGCCGAATGCTCCCAGGAGCAGTTCACCATCTTTGCTACTGTAAAGGTTCCAGAGAAGACTAAGTCGTTGAACCAAGTCTGGCAAGTTGGGCCTGGGGTGAATCCCCATTCTGGGATTCCAAAGGTTCATGCCTTTGATTCCTCTAATTTCAATGCCGAAAACGAGTTGGTGTTTGACAAGGAGGGTGGTGCTGATCTTGCCCCACACGCCCACCACGACGCCTCCCCTGCGCCCGAGGCTAGCACCACTGCCGCCTCCGCTTCGAGTGGGGTTGCCCAAATTACAACCAAAAGTATAGGGCTCCTTGTGCCTTATTTTGTATTTATTTGGGGAATTAATAATTTTTTATTTTAATTATTTAACACAAATATTGTTCTTTTTATTTTCTACCTTTTATTTCCCAAATTTTTAAAAAATAATTTGATTTAGTTTTGATTTTTGCATTATTTCCACGAATGGTTCAATATATAACTTAATATTTCACGACAAGACTATGAAAATAAAAATAAAATCAAACGGTAAATAAACTTAAGTAAGTGACTTTACTGCTGGTTTAGTTGGATGAATGAATTATTTGAAACATGGACGGTGCATGTCTTGTACTTGATTTATGTTTGTTTATACTATGGAGCTTGAAATGTTGGTTACGTTATGGAATATCACGTTGACATGTTATGTCTTACATTATGAAAAAACATGAAATGATTATGTTATGAAAGAAAATGTAACCAGTATCATATATATGTCTTAATTTTAAATTATAGTGACCTCATACATATTATACGAGTTTGTATGAGAAATCATGTGCGCATACATGGAGACCAAAACCATGCTATGGTTAATTTTTTTTCACAAGAGTAAAGTTTCAAAATTTTAATATTTTAATGGATGATATAAATATTTGAATTATACCAAAGTCCGTGATTTTTTACTAGCTTTTATATACAATTGACCAGCTTTGGAGTGCGGTAAAAATTAATTGGGACTAAAAAAAGACAAGAGAGTGGGTAAAAAGGAATCACGTGACAAACACATGTAAAACTGAAGAACATAAAAACATCCACCCAAACACACCCTTTCTAAAAATAAATAAAATAATAATATTCTCATTCTTTTTTTTTTTCCTTCAATATTGTTAATTTAAATTATTAATAAAAAATAATCGAGTTTAATATTATATATAATATTTCCTAACAGAACTTATATTCGATAATTAAGAAGAATATCACAAGTATACAAGTAATTCATGCATTATTTTAATTTAGTTATTTTATTTATTTATTTTAAAATTAAGTCTATAATTTTCACTCCGTATCAAATGATTGAGTTATCACAGAGAAATTTCTCGATTTATATATATATATATATTTAAAAAATATTTTTTAATAAATAATTTCTGATTTTAATATAATTTCTAGTTACATCTCAAGTTTAGACCTATTTGAATTAATTAATTTTTTTTCTCTCTTGAACTTCACTACTAATTCAATATTGTTTTAGCTAAATATGAGTTAGGATCCAAATAGTAGGCAAATATTAGCCTTTAAGTTCAAACCTCTTTTTTTGAGTTCCGCTCTAAAGTTATAAATAGACATACTAAAAATACCGCTAACAAGTATAAATATTCGGGTTTCGAAAGTCATTTATATCAAACTATTTCAAGTATTAAGTTTTAATGGCCATCTCCATACGAAACATGCTCGTTCTTTTCGGTGCTCTTTTCATTTGTATTGATATGGTTGGGATTACCAATGCAAATGCAAATCTCATCGACTATGAAGCTATAAGAGCTGATGTCAGTCCTGGATGTAATCATAAACATCCCCATCTTTGTGAGACGCATCAAGCCAACCCATATGAAAGAGGGTGTAATGCAATTAATCAATGTAGAGGAAGCAAATCTGTTGTCGTAAATGCTGTTGAAAAAATTGATATGAAACACAACGATATCATAGAAAGTGAAGGCAAGGCAGGAACCGATGAGATTGTTGGTAAACTTAGTACAGTTAAGGATAATACTCGCAAAATTAACCCTGGTGCTTTAGAAAATATTTCGGATGGAATTGTTGGATGAAATATATTGTATATTTGCCTATACATAATTTTTTGATTGGAACCGGAATATGATCCAATAAATGTTCCGTGTATTTTATTTTAATGAAAAGTAACAATTTTGATATATTTAAATTTCTCATCATCTCGTGTGTCTCTCACCTCTTTTTCTCTGAAATTTATAAAAATATATTCAAAATTTGAATGTACACGTAACCTTACTTCACTCACTTACATATGTGTGTGTATATATATATATATATATATATTTTTTAAAAAAGAAATTTGAATTTTATTCTAAAACTTATAAATAAAATAATAATAACAAGAAAGTGGAGAATTAGACAAAATAAGATATATAAAACAAGATTTGTGCATTGCTCAAGAAATACGATATCATACTCATCCCACTTTATTTTGTCTAATTTTTTCACTTTCTTTCTTTATCTATTATTTTTAATATCACCTAATCACTCAATTAATAATATTCACGGCAGAGATCGCCGTATAAAGTTCAATTTAAATGTTTATAGAATAATAAACACCGTAATCAAACCTAATAAAAAAATTAATCATTATATTAACCCAAACCAACATACTGAATCTGGACCGTTAGCTTCCAAATTAAGTGTCAGTTTTATGAGATATCATGTCCTTAAAAAATACCATAAATTCCCTTCACTTATCCACTACATATATATATAATATTATCACCAACCTGTGTGACCCATGTTACAATTACATTATTTGATAAGATTATTACAGTATAACAAATAAATAAATATATTTTTATAAATAATCATGATCTTAATTAATGTTTTAACCAAGGCCCATGACTCAGTAAAAAATATGAAATTAGAAAGACCCTTTGGAAACTTCAAAGATCAAAAAAGAAAAAAAAAAAAAAGATTTAAATTATAAACTAATATTATAATACGCTGTAAATTACCAAAAAGGACAACTGTTGGAATATTGGCATCTTTTCCCAAACACCACAACGGACAACGATCAAGAAAAGGACGAAATTATTATTTAATTAAAAATACATATAATTAATATTATAAAATAAGCTTATTTTTTATTAATAAAATAAAATAATGTATATGAGAGGGAGAGATCCTTGAAAACGACAGGGTTTAGATAACAAGTATGTCGCACATCATTACCAAAAAAGCCTTCCAACAAATACCCACAGAGTTCTCTACTTAACGCTCTCTCCTCGGCGCGTGCTCATCAAACGCTTCCTTTTGAATGGAACAGCGAAAAAACAAAATTCCTTTTGGATGCCATTGATGAAACAGAACACAGCTTTCGAAATGATGAGAAATAGAAGAAAAAGATGAACAGAAAGAACAAGATTTCTCCGCATACTTACACGAGGATTTTTAATTTTCTTTTTGGTGTTATGAATTGGCGATTGAATTTGTCTTCTAACGGATGAGCGAATCGATTGAATAATGAAAGAGGTCTTGTTAGTGTTACCCGAATTCTGTTTTCTTCTTCTAACTGTCGTTAATGGAGTTTTCCTCCGCCGTCTGTTTCCATGATCCGCCTTGTCGTCGTCCGGTTAGTGCTACTACTACTGCTACTACTCTGGTAGCTTCTACTGCTTCCGCTGGTGCCGGTACTGGAGAATAGTTGACCGAATCCGAACACAGAGACGGATTTTGAGGATCCTCTCAGGGAAGAACAGACTGGAACGTGAAGGACTGGAGTTATTCTCACGTTCGCTGAATATGACCTTTCCGTTCCTCTGTTCTTCAGTTTTGGTCCGCCATTGAAGCTGCTTGGACTGCTCGAGCTTCTCTCCAAGTTGTGGAACACGATTTTACCACAGGAGTTAATTCGTGGACTGTCTACGGATACTCCTCGGACAGCTAATCTAGTGGATTCTCCCGGCGCAGGCCGCATTGGGCTTCTACCTACTCTCGTTGCCGTCGGATGATGATCCATTGTTGATCTTGGATTCATCTCCGATTTAGGCCGAGGTTTCACCTGTCTCATTCGCGGTGGATTGCTAGTGTTAGGGTTCCGATGGAGAGAAATCGGATTCGTGTTTGGCTTATTTTCCCAATCCAGCGGGAGTCTGTGAAGATCTTCGAGTTCGTGACCTGAGGAAGACGAGGAAAGAGATACGCGGGAAGAAGATAGCGAAACAGACTCGCTATCGGAGTCCTTCAACAATGGAAGGCTCAGTGACGAATCGAACGAAGACGATAACGATGATTTCGAACGCCGGTGAAGTAAATACCTCAGCGCCTTAGAATTGGCTTCCGAGGCGTAAGACGGCGACGTCGTTTTGTGATTTTCGGTTTTGGCGCTGCCATTGCTGCTGCTCTGGTACAGTTTCTTGAGCCCTAAAAGCTCTCTCCATCGACTGGAACATCTCGGCGCCTTGGGAGAGAACAGATATGGATCCGTACTGCATTCTGCCTCAACTTCCCGGCGGGACTGAGCCGCAGTCTCCGGCGGCGAAACGCACCTCATCGACTTCAAAACGTTGACCGAGGGTTTAACAGACGAGACCTGAAATGGCACGAGTTTTCCATTCAGAAACAGCTCATCCGCCGGGAGCATCAAGGCGACGGGATCTTGAAGGCGGAACTCGAACTCACTGACCGGCACTAGTTCAGGATCCGAATCTCGAATCTCAGACTCTCCGGCCGGGTCAGCGGCAGGCTTAGTTATAAGTCCGGAGAGGTTAGTAGAAGGCGGGGAGTCGTCGCGGCTGAAGGAGATGCGAGGGCTGAGCCAGCCGTAAGAATGGCAAGGAGCAGAAGAACAATCGAGGAAATTCTCCGGCGACATTCCGATGTTGTTAACGCATGCGGAAGCCATGGATAGCAGCAGCGATCATGCGAAGGAGAAGATGGGGAATACAGTAACAGGGAAGAGGGAGTCACCGGAGTAGGTCAACGTTAATATGTAAATCACATCGGCGGAATACCCGGCGAGATCTGGAGGAGAGAGAGAGATAATGATGAGTTGGTCTTTTAGCCAGAGGGCCGTGGTTCAACCGTACAGCAAAGCTCCCAATTTATATTGGGAAAGGAAAATCTCTCTTTTTTTATTTTTTATTTTATTTTTATTTTTTTGCAGATGCTGCCAAAATGCCAATGGCGCGCTATTTCCTTTTTATTTATTTATTTATTTATTTGCTAAATTCTAAAAAAATATTCAAAACTTTCACAATTGTTCTTTCTAAAAAATATTTTTTTTAAAAAAGTTACTTTTTACATTTTATAATCATTAGAAAAATCCTTAAAATGTTTAATAATAAATCATGTACCTCTCCTTTTTATTAAATATTTTAACATATTTCTATTTATGTTTAAATAAATAAATAATTTAGAGTGGTTATTATTATTATTATTTAACAGAAATATTTTAAACACAACTTTTTATTATTAATTTTATACTTTGAATTTGACATGTCATTAAAAATCTCTATAAATTTTAAAAACATGCTCACATTCCGTCTTTTCTTACTTAAAAATTTATATTTTACTTATGTTATTTTTACCTTATTTGATTACGGTAAATATTAAGGGGACTCTTTTTACTACTATTAAGGTATAAATTCAATAAATCATTACTAGAGTCGAGCTCATAGGCTACGGTAAATTTTATATTTTTTCGTGGTACGTTCTCTACAAATCCGCTTATTATTAAGGTTTGCACATTTGTTCGAAGAATAACTATAATCCAATTACAAGTTTTATAATTTTTATGAAAATTATTCCTTTCCTATTTTAAATTAAACAAAATATTGTAAATAAAATCTGAAAAATCCCTAAAACTAGGGAAGAAATAAAAATCAAGTAATGAAATTAATTGAACCAAAAAAGGAAAAAAGAGAACATTAATCGATGAGTTAAATTACCTAGCCGTTCGCATCGTCGACGGTTTTCCACGGTCAGAGCCAGCTGTCTCGACCGCCGCGGATTTTACACGGACCATATATATTTCTCCCCCCGCATTCACTCTCTTCTTCAGCACATTCTCACGCTAGAAACAGAGCGCTCCATCAACGACCTCCGAAATCGCTAGATCATTACCAGGCAATCGGTGGGAGAGAGAGAGCAGACGCCTCGTCTCGGTGATGAAAAATAGAGGTAATGTAACTTCATTCAGCCTAGTTCGCTCTTCACTATTCTGTTCTCGGTTTGAAATTTTAAGGCTACGGTCGGCTATTCCGATTTAGGGGTTCATTGGAGAACTCCAGAGGTTAATCAAAGGATTGTTCGTTTTTATCGACACCTTTTGTATTTTTCGTAGTTTCGATTACGGAGGATTAGGGCGTTTTTAGTAGGTTCATTGCTCCCATGGTAACGTTGATTATTATCTTGGACTCTTCGTTTCATTCCCCGTCATCTTCTGTCTCTTCTTTGTGTGAGGAGCCAATGGACAAATCTGATATTCAAATTTATGTGTTGGCAGAAGAGAGCAGGACGACGAACTCTTATGTCATTGAGATTTGTTCCAATAACAGAGAGGGGAAGAACAAGGCAGTTGGTCTTGTCATTGAGGCCGGTTGGATTTTCGCATCTGCTAGGAATACTGGTATGATTTCCAAGCCCAAGGCTGTGAAGTAATTCTTGTTTTGAAGTTTTTATTTTATTTTATTTATTGTTGGCTGTGAAGTTGTGTATTGTGTATTGTAGCTTTAGCTTCTTTAGATGTTACCTCTGTTTGGATCATGTCAGCATTTGACTGCAAGTAGGAAGAGATTCATTTGACTGCAAGTAGGAAGAGATCACAAAATATTGTTTGAAACATGTCTGGCAATGCTACTAATTCTTAGGTTTCGTGACTATTGAGGTTTTTAAACCCAGATTTCTTAACTACTCAACTAACATGTTTAGAAACGAAACTGAGAGGCCTTTTAGGGTACATCTTCCTTGTATTCCACAAGCTTGCTTACTACAGCGTAGAGAGTAGAGTTGAAAACTGGTTCAGTCCATAGGATTCCAACTATTCCATCTAGACATGGTTATATCCTCAATATGTCAATGAAGTTTC